CTTTTCCTGTAAATTTTCTTGATCTCAACCTTTATCCAAAAAGGAACCCTTTATAGAAACTGCATTATATTAGGTTTTGGGGTATATAGTTTAGGCACTGAAGATTACCTCATCTTGCCATACTTTCTATTTCTTTATTATTATTATTAATAATAAGTTCACACTTTCTATTTCTATAGCATCTCTTGGTCTTTATTTGGTGATCCAGGCCTAAGGTAAAAATGGAACTTAATCCAATTCAAGCACAAAAATCTTAGGCAACATTCCTTCTCTGTCTTCCAAGTTTTCACTTTTAGAATTTTACTTTGACTCTAGTTACATCCATTAGTTGAACCAAAGACATGTAAATCTGATGTTATCCTGCCATCTACTGGAGCCAGGATGCTTTGAGGTGGCATTGATCTCCCTTTCCTGACTTCTTGCTGGGATGAAAGCAGTGTCAAATGAATAATGAAGGACACACAACTACATCCTGAGTGATTTTAGAAGAGTGAAATTTGTTTGTTTTAATGTCTATTCATCTTTTTATTCCTAACACAATCTTGTTACTTCTATTTTTCTATAAAGAAATATACTAATAACAAAACAAAACAAAACAAGCAACAACAACAAATTATAACAACACTATGGCTGTGTTTGGGTCTTTTTTGCGAAACTAAAAATTGAATCTCAGAGTTGTCAAATTCTGGCATCCTATCCAAATTAATAGTCCAGGAAGGTCTAGTCTTGCCTGTCGTGGTCAGTTTCCTTATACACATGTCATAAAAGTAGGCAGAGAGGGCTGCCAGCTGTAACAATGGCAGAAGGAAGTAAAAAGTAGAGGGGAAAAAAAACCAAACAATTCATCAAAATGAACTTTTTCATGGTGTTGGAAATTAATGAACAATTGTTCCTTGAAGGGTAATTATTTGAGAAAAACAACAGAAATGGCAGTGAGAAAAAACAACACATGCAGTTTAAACTTGCATCCATCTCATACATTTTCAAGCTGAGTAGTAGTCTCCATAGATCATGTCCCACATTTTTTGGTGCCAAAGGGAGGTGAACAGGCTAGAGAAATTCAAAGTATCCTTCCTAACAATGCTCTTTATTTAAACTGTTAATATTCAACTCTGTAAGACCCCATTGGAAAAACCTCTTTGACTTGTCTCAAAACTCATTCCAATGCCAAATGTGTTGATCACATTTATAGACTAGTATAGTGGCCTGAACTGTGTGGCTAGCTGGGTTTGTTTTATAACAGTTGTAACAAACAATGATCAACTCAAAATCTTGACAGAAAGTTAGGAAACAAAATGTCCACAGGTGGTTGAAAACTCTGGAATCTTTCTGGGACTCTACAAGTGTTTTGCATACTTGGGGCTGAGCACATGTTCCAGAAACACTGAGAAGGCCCTATCTCTCACCTCTTGCTGACCACAGCAGGAAATAAAAGCCAGGCATAGTTGTAAATGGCCTTTCTGAGTATGGAGGCCATATTCTAGCATGAGTATAGAACTCCTTGACAAAAACCGAGATATTATTGCTATAAGATCTTATGAAAAATATTCAATCACTAGTTGCAACTAAGTGATTTTTAAAGCAAGTAACAAAAACACAAAACAAATTCTTGGGGGAATAAGTGGGATGATTTTCCACAGTTGCCGTCTTATGTTACGAAAATGTCCAACTTTTAACAACAAAAAAAGGAGAAATGTAAATAAATAAAAACTATGATTAGTGATGCTGTGGCTCAAGTGGTATAGTGCTAGCCTTTAATACAAAGAGCCCAGTCCTGAGTTTAAGCCCCAGGATTGGCAAAAAAAAAAAAAAAAAAAAAATAGTATGAGCCGTTACATAGAAAACAAAAAACAGTGAATAAACATTGTTTCTAAAGAATCCTAGATGTTGAACTCACCGGACAAAAATACAAATATGCTGACTCAAGTATATTCAAATACCTAACACACTTCCAGATAACTAAAAGGACTTAAGGGGAAAAAACCCAACTGACTTGTAATAAAAAATAAGAGAAAAATAAGGAAAAAATAAAAAAAGAAATTATAGAGTTACTGGACAGGTAGAGAGTGGTTCCTTCATTTCTTTTTTCTTTTTCTGTGCTAGAGATTAAACTCAGAGTTTTGTACTTAGTAGGCAAGCAATAGTTCACCGAGCTCAATCTTTAGTGCGTAGTTCTGAGTGACAGACATTGGGAGGAGTGAAGGTTGAAGCCAAAAGCAGGAGAGCCTATCTGGAAGAAAAAAATAAAAGTCAAATCCGTTAGGGCATGACTCAAGTGGAGAGTTGCTGGAAAAGCACATTGCCCTGTGTTCAAACCTTAGTACCACCCCCCACAGAAGAAGAAAAAAAGGAGGAGGAAGAAGGGGAGGAGCAAGAGGAAGAGAAAAAGGAGGGAAAAAAGAGGAGAAAGATAAGGAAGGGGAGAGGAAATAATAAGGAAGGAGGGGGAAAAAGCTCATAGCCCTAAAAAGTGCAAAACTTGACAAAATTCCTTTGAGGGGGTTCAAGGGCAGACTATCAGGCAAAATAACCAGTACATTTAAAAATATTTCAATTAAAATTATCCAACTAAATTTCAGAAATAATTGAGTGGTTATAAAAATGAACTAAATTGTCTAGCATGTTCAATAACTATAATGCATACCTGCTGTAACTAAATATTTAAAACAAAAGTAAGTTTATTAATGCTTGGAAAAATATGAATGAAAACGTCCAATGTCTCAGATGTAAAGATCCTTTTAAGTAACATGAAACTCAGACAGTATAGGGAGAGAAGAGCAGTTTGGCACATGAGATTTTTGAAAAGTCTACTCAGAAAAGGATCATAATGACAATACAAATAAAAGTTATATTTTTAAGCCAGGCTCCTGGTGGTTCATGCCTATAATCCTAGCTACTCAGGAAGCTGAGATCTGAAGATCTCAGTTAAAAGCCAGCCCAGGTAGGAATGCCTGTGAGAATCTTATCTCCAATTAACCACCAGAAAAACAGGAAGTGGTGCTGTGGCTCAAGTGGTAGAGCGCTAGCCTTGAGCTGAAGAGCTGAGGGATAGCACCCACACCCAGGCAGAGTTCAAGCCCCACAACCAACAAGAAATAGTTACATTTTTACAACAAATGAAATGTCCTTCATTAAATTAGCAAATAAACATACAGGAAAGAATTAATATTTTAACATTGAATGAGCTAAAAATGTTTAAGAACCCAAGAAACAAACAAAAAAAATAGTATAAAAAAGTAATTTTCCAGAGCATAAATACATACAAATGGTGGATAATAAGGACAGACCAAAATAAGCAGTTCCCTGATGGTCATAGATGTTCACATAAATGAAAAATAGAAATAGCTCAAGAAAGTTGCTTGGTGATGGTTTCAGTATCAATAACCATTTGATAAAAGTATAAAATGTCCAGAAATTATTGGTGATTAATTTGATAAAAATCTATCCAAATCTTTAAACTATTGGGTAAAAGTCATAAGTATCTATCTTCCCCAAATTATAGTTATATTTTTGTTGCATTATTAATTATGCTAAAGATAATTGATGTCAAATCATTGTGTGGTTGCAGTGGACTAGTTGAGTGAATGGAGTCCCTTTCTATTATTGAATGTTGTGCAGCCTCTAAACTCAATGTTTAAACATGTTTATAATATGTAAAGTAATATTGAGTGAAAAAAATTAGAGAAGAATGATTATCTTTTAATTTTTAATTTTATTATAAAGGTAATGTACAGAGGGATTACAGTTACATAAGTCAGGTAGAGTAGAGTACATTTCTTTTCTTTTTTTTTTTCTGTCCATCGTGGGATTTGAACTCTGGGCCTGAGCGCTGTCCCTCAGCTCTTCAGCTCAAGGCTAGTGCTCTACCACTTGAGCCACAGTGCCACTTCTGGCTTTTTTCTGCTTATGTGGTGCTGAGGAATCAAACCCAGGGCCTCATGAATGCAAGGCAAACACTCTACCACTGATCCACCTTCCTAGCCCAGGAAATATATTTCTAAGACTTAGAATGGTATAGAAATAAAAGAGCTAAACAACCTCTTTTTCATTCATAAACTACTTAAGAAAACTCCATATTCAAGAGACCATTAACTTTGGGGAACTGGTGTCAGTTACTTATAGTCTTCTCAAAGTTTTAATTCATTAGATGAGAAATGTGAATTACATCCTCTTGTTTATGTGTATGTGGAAAATTTTAACTTATATCTAACAGTGTTATGTGGTAGACTCTGTCTTCTTTACCCTTCCCATTTTAACAAATACCAATCAAGTGGTTCATTTTCATCACCCCTAGTATTACAAAAGGAGTAATTATCTTCTAATGTATTAAGATAATTTGAACCAAGATAAACATTCTTTGTTCCAAACTAATAAAAATCCTCAATATACTATAGTATAATTAATTCTAAATACATAGTTAATGTTATAAGGGAGGGAAGGAAGGAAAGTAGGAAGGAAGGAAGGAAGAAAGGAAGGAAGGAAGGGGAGGGAGGGAGGGAGACAGGGAGAAGGAGGGAGACAGGAGACAGCCTCCTGAAGAGCTAGGATTATAGGCATGAGCCACTGCATCTGGCTATTTTATGTCATTAAAAGAAAACATCAGAAGTGTCCTGTTAGAATCACCATAGAGTAACAATAATGTGGCAGCCATCCATGGCCAAAAGCACCTTTGTGGGAACATTGAGATGTAGGCAGGATGTTGTGAAAGCTTGAAGGAACACAGAAAAAGGAAACATTTATTCAGGTCACAGGCTCATCACCACCGCTATGAGCCTTGAAACAGCCTGCAAGTGATATGGAACTTGTGTTTAAATCCAAGGTATGTTATTTGGTAAGAACTTAAAAAAATTAAAAAAAACACAACACTTAATAAATTGGACCTGTGAATGTTTTCTAATTTTAATATAACACAAAGGCAAACACTTGTCATGTGGAGAATACTACAAGATCAAAAACACATGGACCAGTGTCATGTGGCCAGTTCTTCAAAGGGTTTTATTTTAAGATGACCCCAAGTCTCCAGACTTTCTTCTTAACCTTTCTTCCAGCTTGACTAAAGAAGAGAAAGCTCTCACAATTTCCACCCTGACAATTTCCCAGGCACAGTCACTATATTTCTTCTCTTTAAGGTAGAGAGAGATTACCTGGAAGTACTTCCTTATATGCAAGGTGGGATCCTCAGGTGCCAAGATAGATTCCTCATCGCCCATCACCTGCATCAGACAGGTCCTGAGGCCCTCCAATTGCTGGTGGAGTACAGTGTGGAGTTCATTTAGGAGTTTGCCGTTCCAGGCAGCAGGGCAATGCTCTGAGTGCAACAAGTTGAAGATCTGCTGCAGCAGTATGTGGAGGACAGACACAGCCCGGGCCTTCTGCAACTGGCTGACATCCACCATTTCCTGGGGGAACTGGAAGTCCCTTCTGTCGCTCAGACACAAGACAGGGGAGATTCTCCTCATCTGCTCCAGTACTTCAAAGGTCTTTCTGTTAAGCAGGAGAGAGTTCTGAGGCAGGTGACAGCCAGGAGATCCAAAAGGTCCACAGTTGCACAGCACCATGGTGGTCAGTAGAGGGCGCAGGAGGGCCATGGGGAAGAGAGGAGGCTGGTGGCCTGGCTGAGCTGAGGCCTGATGAACCCTGGATCCTGGGTTCTGTGAAGACTTTCTGTCTATGCTCAACTTTTATATGCTAACCCCAAATTTCATATTCGGAACCTTTCTCTACATTTTTGCTTCTTTTTTTAGCCATCATTAGTAAATTTTCCACATTACTAACAAGATACCAAAAACTCAGCTATTAATATTACTGTTGAATTCTAGTGTATGTCAGATGTGTCTGACTAAACAGATAGCTATCAATCTAACAAGAAGTGCTTGGCCTAAAATCAGATTATACATTTATGTAAAGAATCTATGTATTTCACACTTTTTTCATATATAAGTGCTGCTCTTTTTTTTTTTTTCACCCAGTACTAGGGATTGGCTCTAGATCCTCATAGGGAAGCACTCGACCACTTTATCCATGCTGCTATATTAATTAATTGTTTATAATTATTAAAGTTGTTAATAAATACTAATTTATACTTAGTAGTCAATTAGCATTATTTATTTTTCTATTTATTTATTATTGATATAAGGTCTCACTAACTTTGCCTGGACTGGTGGCAAACTTTTGTTCCCCTTACTTCTGCCTCCTGAGAGCTGGATCTATAGGCATGTAGCTGGATCTATAGGCATGTACCATCACTGTGGCCTATGGGAACAAATCTAGCCAAGGTCCTTGCCTTCATTTTTACCATGTTTCTTTTACACAGCCGGCCTTCCTCAGATTTAGGGTTTCTGTAATCGTTGGGGATTTATCAGACTATCCATGTCAAGTAAACCCATCCTGATAACATTTGAACCCCTCTTCCTTCTTTGTTACCAAGACACTAAATCCTTGGCTCTTAGATCCTTGGCTCTGTTCCTAGAGGCATGCCTGATAGATCCTGGTTGTCCACAGTGAACTTTTCCTTTCTTTTTGTTTTATTTTTAAAATTTTAGTGTAAAGGTGCTGTACAGAGGGGTTATAGTGACATGAGTCAGGTAATGAGTACATTTCCTTTTGAACAGTGTCAACCCGTCCTGATTCTCTCCCAGTTTTTCCTCTCCCATCTCTCCTCCCCCACCCCCACCTCACACCCATGCTGTATAGTTCATCTCCAACATAGTGTCTGGCAAACATTACCTTTGTCCTGTCATTTCTTTGCTTCCCCTTCCTCTCCCCAAATCAGATAAACTAACATGCAACACAAAAGGTAGAAATAAAAAACAGCAACAAAAGGGGAAAAAACCCAGAAAATAAGAAGGAACTGAAAAAAACAAAATAAAAAAACCTTGTTTCCATTCCTTATCATTTCAATAATCATTTTATATAATTATATACAATTATATAATTTATATACTCTATATGGTCTCATGGTGTGAATGTTCAGAGTCCTGCCTACTTTATTATGTCCAAGTATGATTTTTTTTGACTTCTTTCTTTTTTTTTTTTTTTGCTGGTTGTGGGGCTTGAACTCTGGGCCTGGGCACTGTCCCTCAGCTCTTCAGCTCAAGGCTAACACCCTACCACTTGAGCCACAGTGCCACTTCTGGCTTTTTTCTGCTTATGTGGTGCTGAGGAATCGAACCCAGGGCCTCATGACACAAGGCAATCACTCTACCACTGAGCCACCTTCCCAGCCCAACTTCTCCTTTCTTGATACACATCCCCAGATACCAAAGGTATTAGTGGTCCTCAGGTTATGGTAGTAAATGATTATTGTCTATGTATCTCAAAGACTTACCCAATAAAAGTCATTTTATCTTCTGTAGTGGACTCATTTTACTTTTGGTAAGACTAGTTCTTATTCTTCAAATTTTACTTAAACTATTCAAGTCTTGCTATCTTCATATTTCCGAATTGGGTATAGGTGATTTGCTGATGATGCTGTTCTTCATTAGAAGCTAATGAGCAGTTAGTGCCCACAGTAGCGTGATTCTGTCTGTTTCTGATGTCTATCTATGACTCACTGTGGCAATGCAGGGCAGTGAGCCTGAAACTAATGTCAAAGACTAATGACATTTGCTCCTTCATTATAACTTTAAAACAACAACAAGAGTGGCTAAAGTTGGCTAAAGTGAATCATTTTCCTATATTACTACTTCATCTTGAGGATAATGCATACTAAAGGAAGTAAAAGAAAAGCAAAGAACAGCATCATCTTCTCTGTTCTGGCTATGTAGCCAGACTTGCCTCCAACTTTTGATCCTCCTGTCTCAGCCTCCCAAGTGTTGGAATTGCTGGTATGAACCACCACCTCCAGCTAAGATATGAGAATATTTTTGCTCCCTCATTTCAAAAACTTTCCTAGAAATCGAAACTGCCTATCTACTTGTGGACAAAGTGAAAACAAATAGCACAATTTTTTTTGAATGGGAAAGGGAAATGACTTTGGTCACTTAGTTCACTTTGTTAGCAGAAACAAGTATTTTGTTTCTCTTCTTTTCAGTATATTAAAAAAATCCTTATCCTTAAAATATTTGTCATAAACTCTCATGGGCTCAGATATAATAGTATTTAGCTATTCCTATTATTGATGGGTGGTTCTAAATTTTTATTTATCTACATTTGATGTTTTTCCTGAACCCTTATCCTCAGGAAAGATCCTAAACTCTAGATATGTCTAACAGAATGTATTGTACTATATGCAATGTAAAGAAAAATGTACTGATCCAATCATGTCGTCTTTCTAATGAACAAAGTTAAACCAGTGCAATCTCACCAAGTGCCTTCACCATGAGAAATTTCTTCCTAAAAAGTCTCTTTCTCCATGTTGCTAAATACTATTGAGTCTCTGCTGATGACTCTACAGCACAAGTAGTATTTGTTTTTAAGAGCGACCGCATCATGACAACAGTTTAGGAGATTCCTTGGGTGCGGCTGCTCCCAGGGCCGGTGTGAGGATTTGCTGGGTCCCTGGATTATTCCAGGACCCTCCAATACTCCACAGACTCTTGTGGCATCAGTGCCATTTGTGCTGGGGACATGGATGTATTCAGGAAATCTGGGCCATGAGTATTGGACTCTCAGTACCCACTTCAATCTTCTCCTTCTTGCAGGGGAGAATTGGGAGGATTTTGAATCCAGAACTCAGGTTTTACAATCTGAGAGCCAGTGAATGCAAATGATAGCTGTTCCTGGGTCTGTGGACCTGCACCAGCTCAGACACTTTCAGCCTGTCTCTTCTCCATCAACGTTCTCAAGCAGGTCCTTCAATATCTTCATGTCTCTGGATGTGAACTTTGGTCTCTGGAACAAATGAGAGTCCTGTAGCACTGTGGTTTGCTCCTAGTGTGCTCAGAACATGAAAATCACTAAACAGGACATAGAGGAGCAGCTGAAGAAGATGCTTGGGTAGAGAGCTGAGAGCAGGGACCCCTGTGTTGAATGCTGTATCCACTGTGCACAGGGGTGAAGACCTCTGCAGTCCAGGAATCAGCATAGAGGGGTGTGGGGCGCTCGCGTTTGCATTCCTGGTCTTGAAGCTTGAGAACTTGGGCATTTCCAGCTTGGGCCACGTCACACTCCTTAGCTGCCTCTTCTCAGGCCTCACCACTCTGCTTGCTGCTTCATGGTGTGCCTTCCCAGGTGGACAAGACTGGCATGCATGGACTAGAGTGGGCAAAGTGAAGTCAGGCACTGCAGGGAGGGGTGTGATGAGAGGAGAATCTCAACTCACACTATTCCCGCAGGACTCTTGTCCCCACCCTTTTTGCCATGCTCCATTCTACTGAATATTCAACACGTTACAACTCCAGGAGATGAAGCAAGATGTGGCTGTAGAGATTGCAGAGCAAGATAGTACTTTGGAACTAAATCATAGAACTTTGAATTTAATATAAACATAGAATGCCATGTAAATGTGATGGACATTACATTAAAGCATGAGAAACAAGCAGAGAATAAGTGGGAGGAGGGTCTTCATAGTTAAGGATACTAAGAAGCCACAGGAGCAACCAGGTTTGTTAAAAGGGAATGTATTATTATCCGCTGCGAAACTAGTTCTCTTTCAAGAAGCGGAGAAGGAAAGAAAAGCAAGGAATTAAAATCTGCAAGGCACCTGTGGTTCACATGTGTAATCATATCAGGAGGCTAGATTTGAGGGGGGCAATAGAAAGCCAGCCTTGACAGAAAAGTCCATGAGATCCTTATCTCCAATTACCCACCAAAAAGCCAGAAGTGGAGCTGTGGCTCAAGTGATAGAGTGTCAGGCTTGAGAGAAGCGCGAAGGGACAATGCCAGAGCCCTGAGTATCAATGCCAGCACCAAGAAGAAGGAAGAAGGAGGAGGAGCAGGAAGAAGAGGAAGAGGAGGAGGAGGAGGAGGAGGAGGAGGAGGAGGAGGAAGGAGAGGAGAAAGAAATGAAGAAACAAAATGAATCACAGCAACAACAACAAAACACCTCACTTCACCTTCACCTGTAAATTAGAGCCAGCAAGGAGAAAAGTCATCTAAATGCTGGGTCTCTGACTTCAGGGAGACAGCAGAGAAAGCCCAGTGGAAAGAAGGCCTTTCTTTCTTTCTTTTTTTTTTGGGGTCCGGTCTTGGGGCCTGAACTCTGGGCCTGGGTGCTGTCCCTCAGCTCTTCAGCTCAAGGCTAGCGCTCTACCACTTGAGCCACAGTGCCACTTCCGGCTTTTTTCTTTTTGCTTATGTGGTGCTGAGGAATCGAACCCAGGGCCTCAGGCATGCAAGGCAAGCGCTCTATCACTGAGCCACCTTCCCAGCCCAGAAGGCCTTTCTTTCTACCTGAGTAATTAACCCCCACCTCCAGATTCATATCTTCAATTGCTGTGCCCTGCAGGGCCCCTTGAACTTCCTAGTCCTGCTCTAACAGATATTCCATGGACAACACTGGGCAATCCTTAAGCTCTCTGAAAGTCCATTTCTTCCATCTGCTCTGGAAAGACCTAGTCAAGGTGGCACTGGGCTAGGCATGTTCCGTCTTCACAGTGATGGTTAGAACTCATTCCTGATTGTAATGTTAGGAATAGGAAGGAATTTG